GGAGAGGAAGGTGAAGATAACAAAGAGGTCGATTGGACTTTGGGCGGAACTACTTCGAGGGCACTTTTTATGTCGGGTAGGCAAGATGATGCTACAGGACAGGAGCACTGGGAACCATCCACCCCTGAACAGGATGAGGAAATTGGCGACCTCGAGTCACACAATATTCCAGCTATCCACTCGATGGGCACCGCGATAAACGACGTCGAGGAGTTTGAGGATATCCATTTGCAGAATAGCCAGGAATATGAATTGGATTATGAGGAGCAAGAAGAAAGGTCTTATGGATGGTTGTTAAATCCCAACAACGAGGCAGTCTTACAAACTGGCTCGTTGGAGCATAATAAACGAGCTCCTTTCTGCAATGCTACCCTGCAGTCTTGGCAAACGGGTGGACATAACACTTTTACAGACCTTCGAGAAGATAAAATATCTTCACAAATGGGAGGCGTAATGGAATCTGCTAATATGATCAGAGAGATAAGTACTATAGAGGAAGAGAGGGAAGATGAAGGGGGTACGGAAGGAGTGTATGAAGGACGCCAGGCCCACACTCAATGCTCAGTGGTGGCCGCGGTGGCTGAGGACTGGCTCGATGCGGACAGCGCTAGTGGATCCCGCAGTGCTCGGCCAGGCGATCTCGAAGTAGGCCAGCCAATGGCTACTATCCCTGGCAGTTCGGCGATCGAGGTTGTAGAGCCGGTTGTCGATCAGCGCGCTGCTCCGCTCTTATCTATGACAGCTACCACGATTTCACCGACTGTCATACACACCGCAAATGTGGCCAGTCATGATGTGGGTTTCGACACGCCCAGAGCAGTGACTGAAAGTGACCACGAAGGTAGACTAACAGAATATCAAGTGGCTTCATCCCCTGGAGCTATCGCAAAGGAATCTATAGAACCATGCATCACGGGCTCTAATCAACTTTTATCGTCCACGGGCAAACCGACCGGAGGCCTTGGGGCTACTGGAGGAGGACAAGCTTCTCCTGGCCTATCGACATCAGTTCCAACGGTTCAGATAAAAGCAGCAGGTCGCGGAGTCGCAACAGATCCTGGGCAGCCAGTGGGCCCAGGAACCACGGCGCCTCTGAGCACCGTTTCGGCCACAGCTTCAGTGGCTGCGCCAACGCCAACGGTGACAGCAATTATGAGAAAAGATCGCCAGGCAGGTGCTACAGAGAAAAGACGAGAGGCGGTGGTTATACTGTTGGTGTTGGAGACGCCCTTTCCGGCTACATGTTTATGTTATTGTTATTGTAGGCTTTTTCCGTTCCGTTTTAATTTTGTTACTCTCTATTCTTTTCTGTTTTGTCTGTATTTTTTATCTTCTCCTTTAATCATTTTAGCCATCATTCGAATATATGTTTTTCTTCCCCA